TTTTTAGATTCCTTATTTTATTAGCAGAGCGACAAAACAGCCGCAGGATAAATTACTGTCAGAATCAAATGTGACTAAACAATGAATATTCAAGATCCAAGTGACTAGTTTGTGAAGATAAGAACCTTGAGGGGCCAATAACTGCTTCTCACCTTAGAGCAATAAAGAAGTGTTTGGCTGCTGGAATGCTGAGGGTGAGGTCCAGAGAGTTTTAAATTACCTCGCTGATTTTAAAACACGGGCTGCTTTTTGTAAATGCTGCCTTCCTCGGGGACGGAACTAATTTAGGAAGAAATCAATGTGGGAAATAAAATGAGCTACAATTTATAATAGCATCACCGAAAGGCATTGCTGATGCCGCACAGATTTCAGCCAAATTTGCTCGTCTGCAGCATGTTACCTCTAGATTCCCAGTGCCCCACGGACTCGAGATGTAATTACAAAGTCTGGACAATAAAATAAGATCTGCAGGAGCATCCTGCTGGACCTGCAGACTGTCTGTGACACATAATCAACTTGCACTGTCACGAAGAAATAATGGAAATTAAGTGGTAGAGCAGCACAATTTCAGTTTTGCTGACTTCATCCAATGCTAACAATATACTCTGTGTCCTTCCATATAACTGTTTATCTGCCCTCAGAGGTTTGTTTAACTTATTGAACGGAGGATTTAAAGAATGTGGAATAAGTCAATCAGTGAAGAATAAGTAAAAACTTTTTCGTCTTGCCATTAGTTACTAGTTTGGCTTTAACAGGTTTTAAGACTTGCATGTAGAGAGGTAATAGGTCATCTTTGCATGCACATGTGTTGTAGAGGCATAAAGTGAAAACTGAAAGGTGTAGATGTTACACAGGTATTTGTGCTTGTGCTCAATTTCTACATACATCAAAAAAGCAGAAAACTAAACTTTTCAAGGGTACAGACACAAAGTTATTGCCGACCAGTGGAGATGGAGAAAAAAACACTTCCCTCTTTCAGGCTTATCTAACCACATAGTGCTATTTCAGAGCATCTGACAGGAAAAAAGAGACTTTTTATGTTCCGATGAGGAGGTGGAAAAATACTCAGCTGTCTACAGCAAGTGTTGTAGGAGTACAACTATTGTGGGAGCAGGACGTCTGAGCTCAAGGATAAAAAATAGGCCTATAGCTACCAGCCAATCCCCCTGTAAAATAACTGTCCGCCACTTGCACCTGCATCTCCTGTGTAGCATTTTATTTTAGACTCAGCAATGAGTCAGAGAGGCGATGAGGAGGAGGAGGAGGAGGAGGAGGAGGAAGAGGAGGAGGATGCTCGCCTGCAGATAAAAACGTATGAGGAATTATGCACCAAAAATAAAGAGTCGCCAATAGATAAAGAGGAACCATAAAATTAAATAAAGAGGGTTTCTGTTTTACTGCCCGTGCTTAATTTAGACCGGTCTCACAAATTCCAGACACCGTGCACGGCTCATTCTGAAGTTGTGATGGTGTGAGTGGACTTCATGCAGGAGCACTGGAGCGACTGAACCATGCGTGTACACGCAGGTGTCCGTGTGCATGAACCACTTCATGGTAACACTTAAAGCAGTTTGTGTATAATCATTGTATGAAACGTGTGAGTTTGTCACTGAGCACCTGGGCACCTGCGAAGGAAAACTGGCCCTCGGATAATACCGACACAGCTGGGGTCGCATCAGTTGCTGCAAGCCAATATGTGACTGAGAGCATGTGTGTGTGTGTGTGTGTGTGTGTGTGTGTGTGTGTGTGTGTGTGTGTGTGTGTGTGTGTGTGTGTGTGTAGCTACCAGCTGTGCCCACCGTGCTGATCCGCAAAGCTGCTAGCATATTCTGCTTGCATCATTTCACAACAGTCGTACTGAGAGCATCAAACTCGTGAACACATGCTCACAGTTACAGGCCCACATTCATGCATAAAATCACATTCTCACATAAACACCCATTCGCTGACGTATCACATGTGTGTTTTGTTTTTTTTCCTGCTCCTTTCTATCAAATGTACGATTAATAAAACGTGATTTTTTTTTTTTTTTAAACTCCTTTCGTATTCCAGGAAGCTGCGGTCGCCCTTCAAGTGTTAAACGGAGCCTCACACACAAAAAAAAAATAAACCATCCATTGTCAAAAAGGTCTGCAAAGGTCAAAATGCTCTTTAATTAAACTCTGGGTCAAGGATGACTTGAGGGCCCTTGGATGTAGCCAAGTTCCTCCATGGAAAGGTCAGGTGGTGTAGTGCCCTATGAAGCCAGAGAGCAGTCTCTGTCTGAGGAGTCAGACTGGAGTGGAAACAGCTTCCAACTTTACTCTCAGGCTCAACAAATGAAATTCTCCAGCTTCAGTGGTGGAGATTCCAATTGGCTGCTATCATGGAGTCATGTTGATTTAGAAACTAGCGGAACCAGGAGATTTTTTAATCCGAGGGAGTTTAATTTGTTTGGATGGAGCTCAGACAGAGGAGCGTAATCAGAATAATTATTCTGGTCTCAATCCAGCTTCTGGCCTTTTAGCTAATGACAGAGACAGATTTCAAGCTCTGTATTTACATGTGACGTGCAAATAATGTTTGAGAAGCTCTCAACAAGAATAATAGAATAAAAATATCTAAAATATATATATTCTTATTATTATTTTAGTGACAGTTGGTGAGGTCCGTCTATATCCTCACATGACCTCGTTCTACGCAGCTGCAGGCGATATCATATCATACCTGCTTTGTTTCTGTTGTCGAGCAGAATATCTCACACAACAACATTTCACAACACAAATATCCAATTTCTTGCATCATAAAATAAGAGCTGAGCACTAAGTGCAGCTGTTTTGCCTCTGCATGTTAGAGAGCAGACTCTTCCAGCGGCCTGCAGCGCTTCCAATGTAAAGATTCATATACGTTGACACAGTCTGATGCACTTAACAGATCCATTAGGGAAGAACAGCACAGACCATGTACTTCATGTGTTTTATAGCAAAAAAACAATCATTTGCACACATCATAAAATATTCTAAATACTTCCTCTTGATTATTTATTGCTGAAAAAAACATTTTATTTTTAGATTTGTAGGTTTTCCCCGTGTTCGCCGTGAGGGAAAAAAAAAAAAAAACATCTCACCTCGGATATGAATGCAAATCATCAGGAATGAATCAATACCAAACATTCCGGCTTCTGGAGGCCATTTGTGAATGCAGCGGGAAACATGTATGCAACACACTTTGGCCGACCAATCAATAGGCCTTTATTCATGCATTGCACATTTCACACACGAGAACCAATTCAGACAGCGCTTTATAGTATTGACAGTATTGTCTCAGGGTCCCTTGCAATACCACAACACGGTAAAATCCATTTTCTCTCACATAACAAGCTGTCATTTTCTGGTTGGAATGAGCTCAATCGTTCCTGCATACAAAGCAGGCGGATTTAGCCGCAGAATGATAATAACAATAGCAGAATGGCGACCGGAATAATTCCACAGCGTCATCGCTAATATCACAGAATAATGATTAGTGCAGGGCTTCAAACAAACAGGCTTCTTTTTTTTTTTTTTTTTTTTAGGGAAAATCTGTGTTACGGTAAAGTTTCGTCACAATTCAGGACACGTGCTGTGTGAACATGTGTTGCCTCAGATAGGAGCAAGAGTTCCCTGCAGACCAATCAGTCCTGCAGCACGATAATAATGATGGTGATGGTGATGATGGTGATTAGTGTTATACTGGAGGGAGATTACCAATACTGATTATTGATGATTTCTCTGAATGATTTGCTGATGATGATGAAGGCCGTTGTCTCGTGTGATTCCACTGCTGCCATCATTAGTTTGAAATGCGAACGAGTTAATCCCTTCTTTTCAATTACATGTATAAAGAAGTTAGACGAGGGAAACATGAAAGTGTTATTGCATTTTTAAGATGTGTGTTTTTTTGAATCTCTGAAACTACTCATGCTCTTTAGTTGCTACAATAAAAAGATAGAAGACAGAAGATAAAGGGAGTTTCAAGCCTTTTGATATAAACGTAATAAAAAATCTCCCTCGCAGTATTTCAGCTCCATCTCTTCGATCATGTGTCATCACACCCACATAATTACTACATCATGTTGCTATAGATTGATTTATTCTTACACCGCGAAGCCTCGGACGAATCTCAAACTCTCAGAAACAACCTGCCTCGCTCTCTCACCGGGGAGCTGCCCCTGCCACGCAGCCCCACCACCGGCTCCCGGCCACTCCACCGGGACAGGCCAGGGTTAAGTAGCTTGCTCAAGAGCTTTTCACCGGTAGTTACCGACGTGAGGCTAGAGCGGGTTCCTGTTCGTGTTCCTGCGCTGATAACACCTCAGGTGACGTGGGAATGCAACGGAAACACAAAGACGGTGGCGTCTATTGTACGTTTTTCCTCTAAATCCTTCACGACCGTTTCTAATCTTCAATCGTCGAAACCTCGGGGCTCTGACCCAGACTTTGAAAAAATAAAACTCGCTCACATGCTTTCATTCAGTGACTGAATCGGTCTCACAATGTTACGCAGCTGCACATTTTTACACTATATACTATAGAAGCAGAGAAGTGGATAAAAGTTACTTCAAAGTAAAATTTTTACTTTTAATCATGAAGGTAAAGGCATGGAGGGGGCGGGGTCTTTTGTCTGGAGAGCCAACATGGCCGATGAAGAGGTTCTGGCTTCACTATTGTCCATCTTTATAAATGTGTGTTTGAAGGTTACAAGAGATTTTTGTTTGTGAAGTTTCTTTAAATTTGCACCTGAGAATATTTTGAGTATTTTGATATCACGTTTGATTCCTGTTTTAGTTTCTTTCTCATAAATATTCTGACAAACATCCTCCTCTCCCTCTCTCCCCCGCATAATTACATGCATTACAACACTGTGCGATACGCTGTGCATTTAATTAACACTCATCTAATTACACAACAGATCACATGAAGCCTTTCCTCCGCAATAAACGGTTGTTGTTACACGTGATTAATGTCGATCCTCTGTCCTTCTCTCTCTGTTCAGGCAGATCTGTGTCACTGAGCAGAGACGAACACCAGTGATGAGCTAAAGGTGCGTTCTGACACGTTTTGTCATATACTGTGTGTGTGTGTGTGTGTGTGTGTGGAAACTGACATTGACATATCGGACCTCACTGGGGCTGTTAAGCATTTTGTTGGACTGGCTCCCTCTTGTTCACAGATACAGAGAGGACGTGTGAGTGATGGGTGAAAGAAAACTGCTTCATCTCTGTGTCTTTCTTTCTTTTGTGCTTTCATTATAATGGTTGTTTGTGTTCTTTCTTTCTTGAAAAATCATTTTCCTGTTTTTCGCTCCGTCTCCCTCACTAATCACCTCTGTCCTTCATGTTTAACAGGAAATTATTCTGAATTGTTTTGCTTGTATTTGCCTGGAGCGGTTTGTTAAAGACGACTTGTAAAGATGCATATTTAATATGATCTCATGCCTGAAAATGCGGATTACAATGCTTTTGCCCTCTGGGCACGTGTTCCCAAAGTCACCGTATCGCAAACCTCACATCTCCCATACTAAGCATTTTTTTCTTTCTCTCCTTTCGCCTGGAAAAAGTTGAATAGATTAGAGGCAGATCTAATCGATCCTGAGTGTGCTTATCAGCGGCTGGCAGGCTGACGAGCCGATTTCAGAACGGCATCGTCTAATCCTTCAACTGCAGCCCGGAAACTGGAAAGAGGCAAATAGGTAGAAAGACTCACAGACAGTAGGTCAGACAGGAGCCACATGAAAAAACAATCAGTGAAGGGTTTGATTGAACTGGAGTGTGTGTGTGTGTGACACTGGACAATGGACGACAGGTAGATTAAAACAGAAACATGATTTGATGGAACTCTACTGTCAATAATTTGAATAATCCACTTCACCAAAAGCCAGGTGCATGCAAACACAGAAGTCTTGATTTTTTCTGTGACTCTAACGACGACCTTCTTATAATCATCAGGAAAATGTTCTGTAATTTATGCCCCAGAAGCTTTCCTGTGTTTTTGGACCCTAAGGACTCACTTCTGTTCCTCTCGTACGTTTACTTTACATACTTTACAACCCTTGTCGGTTCAGCGTTACTCCGACCCGCTCATCCAGTCCTCGTCTAAGTCACCGAGGGTCCTTACACTCGGCGTCTAACGCATCCGAGACCTTGACGTTGTCATGAGACGATCAGGACGACGCTGGGTTTATTTGTGGACATTGAACTCAGACAAAGAATCAGTAATTGGAGGCTTAAAATCTGACCTTTGAAAAACTCATATCAGTCAGACATGAATGAAGACTTAAGCTCTTCCTCCAGCTTGTTTCGGCAGAAGATCGCTCACCGCGGCTGCCGATGAAAAGTGTCTCCATTGACATCTATTGATTCAGCTGGTAACTTATTACGATTCGAGCTTTCAAAGGGTTTAGCTACACTGTGTTGCTGATTGGATGTTTAACCTTTTGACCCGCAAACTGGGATCAGAGCATATATCCCATAATAGGGGGCATTCATCCAGATGACCTCTGCTGTCACCGTGACAACTCGGCGACAGGCGACAAAGAAATTGTGTGTGTGTGTGTGTGTATTAGCTTTGAAGAACAAGAGACAAGAAAGAAAGAAACGTGCTTATCGGAACGCGTCTCAAGTCACCCTTCCCCCCTTCTCTCTCTCCGTCACTGTATATTTATAACTCTCTCTCCCTCTCCCCCCCTCTCTCTCAGATTAGAGCCTTCTCCTTTAGAACAATTGTTGCTTAAGGAGAAGCAACAGATTTATTGTCCTGGGCGTGTTCGTGTGTGTGCATGCATGTGGCAGCCCTGGGCGACCTTCCCTCGGTTATTTCGGTCTATAACACAAACAGAGACAGCAGGACGACATTAGGACCAGCACCCGTTCAACTCCCTCAGCTTGTTGTGCTTTTTATGATGTGGGGAGGGGTGGGGGGGGTGTAGTTTTCTACAATTAAGCTCTATTTCGGTTTACAGTTCGGCTCCAGGCTTGGTGGAATTAATCTTTCCTGGCGGCGCAACTGCAAACGTTTGCTGCCCAATTCTCAGGTGCTGTGAGACACACCTGTAATCACAGCAGTTATGGCAGAATGTTAAGAAAATAAAATTCAGTCCACAGTTTTCTGCAGCGTGAGTAAACTTTTTTTGGGGCTTTGTCTACATCATGTATATAAAACATTTTCTTGGCCTGTGTGCATTAACCACAGAGAATGTGATGCTCACAGCGGCATCATTGCAGATTAAGTGGAGCGGCAGTGTAACGATTCCAAAATGAGATATTGAAGTGAGAATCCCCCTGAAACTGCAGCTCGCCTCTGCCAAAGGTTTTCACCAAAACACGTCAACAAGCCAACTCCAAAACCCTGCATCTACTAATGAGCTCATCTATTGTGCACAAGACACATGCACCTCAAAAAACATGTTAAATCAGGTCGTGACGGCTCCTCTCTGCATTTGAGCCTCATTGCTTTTAGATTTTTGTGGATATTATGAGTCTGGAGCATTGGAATTGAACATTAAACATGATTCATTAGTTCTGGATGACCATTTTTGTATACCACTTATCCTTTAAGGGTTGTAGGGACACTGAATACAGGCTGGGTACACCAGCGTATCATGGGCCACATACAGAGAAAATTCTCTCCCACATTCACATCAATGGTCTCCAATTAAACTAACCCCAATCTGCACGTCCTCGGACTGTGGGGGGGGCTGAAGACACAGGGAGAACAAGCAAATGCAACACAAACTGGGATTCAAAACCAAGAAACCTCTTGCTGTGAGGCCACCGAGCTGATTTAAGAAAAACTAAATTTCAATGTGCAAAGAGATTAAACTGCAATGACAGGTTATCGGATCGATCGACGCAAAGGACAGGAAGATAGAAATCATGTGTCTTTGAAAAACCGGTTATCTAATAGACGCCTTTGTGTCAATGAAAGACTGAAAAGACATCAGGCAAAACAGTTAAAGTTCAAGCTCTGTTTCATGTCACACTGGAGTTATTCTGGAACCGGAATCAGAAATGTCCGACAATGCCAGTGTCGTGTCTTCAACAGTGAAAACAACAAATGCAGCAGTTTCTTGTACAGTATCAACGCTCAAAGTGTCGCCAGTCTCTCTCAGAGATGTGAAGTTGACCAGACAAATGTTGTAAAAACTCGTCAACTATCAGCCTCATATATCTTCGCAAATGTGACAGTGATGGGTGTCTGGGAGGACAGATAAGGAGCAGGAATCAGGGGAGGGGAAGATTCGCTTTCCAGGGATTTACACAAATACACACCGAGTGAGTTTTAGTGCCCTCTACCAGTATTGATTACCCAGCAGTCTGACAGATTCACAGCTAGATATAGAAGAGCACACATCAATAAAATACTCTGGAAAACCTGGGGAGGGTTTTAAACACGCTGCCCTTTCCCACCTACGCAAACACAAACACACAGCAGCTACGATGCGATTCAATTATTCCAGAGAATCTGAGCAGCTGAATTCTATATTTCGACCAGTTGATCTGTTTGTAACCGAATAATGGATTTTACTCCGCTTCCATCACCTGGAATCAACTGCTCGTGCATCTGTCATTGTAATGGTGAGGTTGGAGTTGACTGTGAGGCCGTTTATCAACGACTCAAAGTCTAATTTTAAACTGGAGACAGATTTAGCTGTTGGAGATGATGGAAGACGGATGGATGAAAATGACAAGAAGCTGCATATCGAGTGTCTTTGAGACATCAATCCTTTCGTGGATAAAAGCTGCCGTCTCTTCTCCAGGATCATTCCAGGGGAACGGGAGCATGTCCCAAAAAAAAAAAAAGAAGCTGTCTGCCCTCCTGCTTTAGATTTGTCTTTTGTATTGTCTGCAGTGTAATAGGTTAAGCTTATATTACTCTTACACTCAGCCATTCTGAATAAGAGCATCAGCTTAATGCCAAAAAGTGAGTGTTAGGTAGCGAATCCCAGAAGTTCTGCAGACACACTCTTTCAGCTTTAGATCATTTTCAACACGAAATCCAAAGTGAGGGTTAAGAGTGCAGTAATGGAACCACAGTTACAAAAACCTGCCTTTTAACACACGAGGCACCTTCAGAGATTGACAATTCCAATCTCTAAAATGCAACTGAACAATTTGAAACCAAAAAATCTGTGGTGTTTTGTAGAAACCAAAAAGAAGAGAAGGGCAATGTGGTAATTGTGACTTCCTCTGCATGGCGTGAGTTGATTTTTTTTTTTTGGGATCCTGTGGACAGAGGAGTAAAGACACCTGACATTATTGCAATTTGACAAATAGCGTGACCTATGAAATCTGCAGCACGATGTTCTACAAGTTTGCTTATGAAACAGCAACGCAGGTGACACTTTAATCCTCTGAGCGTTGGGAACAATGAACGGAGAAAGCAGGTAACAAATGTTTAATCTAAAAGCTGAAGGGATCGACCGTCAGGAGAAAACGGTATTTCAGGAGGAATTTAGGACAAAATTACTTTTCATTGGACTAAAACGGATTCGAGATATGAATATTATCCTCCAATCTGAGATAACAGGCTTGGCTTGATCAACCACATCTCCACAAAGCCACCTGCGATGGATTTCCACGAGAAGCAGGAACAAACAATAGTTGGTGACCCAAACGCAACCCATTGTTTTATTGCTTTTAAACTGAGACGGAGAGATTGGCCTCTGTTTGCAACGTTTTGTCTTGTCATCTTCTCCCCCGACTGTTATGTTCTGCATTTCTTTCCTCTGCTTTGTTCCGTTCTGCCCTCTCCTGCACCTCTGTCAATACATTTCACTTCGTTCTGCATGCACCGATCAAAAGTCAATATCCCATAAGCATCATCGCACAGCTCAGAGCCCTGCTGAGCAAAAACAGACAAAAAATAAAAAGGAAGATGAGAGGGGAAAGAAAGAGCAGATAAATATGTTTGCGGTGAGATTACCATGCATCATAAACCCATAAACCCTGCAAGGAATCAGGAGGGATGGAGGGGAGTCCAAAAAGAAAAAAAGAGAATAAGACGGGGATTCAGGGACAGAGGGGATTCATCGGGAGAGGGACA